TATGGTTGGGGATGGGATCGGGGATGGTTGGGGGATGGGAGTTGGTTGGGGATGGGGCAGTGGTTGGTTGGGGTGTGGTGGGGGATTGGGTCTGGTTGGGGGTTGGTTGGGGATGGGTTGGGGGATGGGGCAGTGGTTGGTTGGGGTGTGGTGGGGGGACTGGGGCTGGTTGGGGCTTGGGGGGTGGTTGGGGCATGGGGGGTGGTTGGGGGATGGGGTGTGGTGGTTGGGGATGGGTTGGGGGATGGGGCAGTGATTCGTTGGGGTGTGGTGGGGGGATTGGGGCTGATTGGGGATGGGATGGGGCTGGTTGGGGCATGGTTGGGGGATGGGGGTTGCTTGGGGCGTGGTTGGAAGGTTGCTATGGGCCCAGCATGTGCTAATGGCTCCCCCCCAAAGGTGGACCTGACCTTTGTGGGCTGCGTGGGGATGCTGGACCCACCCCGGAAGGAGGTGATGGGCTCCATCCAGCTGTGCCGTGACGCCGGCATCCGTGTCATCATGATCACGGGGGACAACAAGGGCACGGCCATTGCCATCTGCCGCCGCATCGGGATCTTCACCGAGGACGAGGAGGTGACGGGCAGGGCCTACACAGGCCGCGAGTTCGACGACCTGCCCCCCGCCGAGCAGCGGGAGGCCTGTAAGCGGGCCTGCTGCTTCGCCCGTGTCGAGCCCGCCCACAAGTCCAAGATTGTGGAGTTCCTGCAGTCCTTTGACGAGATCACAGCCATGGTGAGGGGGGACTCCAGGGGGGTGAGGACAGGATCACTGGGGTGGGGGCAGATAGCGGGGGAAGGGAAGAGGGTCCCTGCCATGGCAGGGGGAGAGAGGCTGTGCTAAGGGACTGTGTGCTTGGGGATCAGCGGGGTTTGGGGATCCCACACTCAGTGGCTTACCCCACACTCACACACAGACAGGCGACGGGGTGAATGACGCCCCTGCACTGAAGAAGGCTGAGATTGGCATCGCCATGGGCTCTGGCACAGCCGTGGCCAAGACGGCCTCCGAGATGGTCCTGGCTGACGACAACTTCTCCACCATCGTGTCCGCCGTGGAGGAGGGCAGGGCCATCTACAACAACATGAAGCAGTTCATTCGCTACCTCATTTCCTCCAATGTGGGCGAGGTCGTCTGGTGAGTGCCCTGTCCCCCGATTGCGACCATCCTGTCCCATCAACCCACCACCAGCCACGCCAGCCTTCCCCTCCCCTCCCCTCCCCTCCCCTCCCCTCTCCCAGCCACGCCAGCCTTCCCTTCCCCTCCCCTCCCCCAGCCACGCCAACCTCCCCTTCCCCAGCCAC